CTTTTCAAGGTAGACATCGCATTCGTCGAGGAGCAGAACGGCGTTCCAGGAAGCTACCATGGTCAGAATCTTGCTCATGTTGTACTGCATCTCATAGGCGTAGGAGCCCAGATCGCTGGCATTGATCGAGTACAGGGGCACACGCATATGCTCGGCGACTGTTTCGGCGGTGAGGGTCTTTCCAATACCCGGGCTGCCAGATAGTAGCATGATGATACCTCGACCCTTGCCGGAGATAACGTCGTCGAATTGATCTTTGCGTTTGTTCTGGGTTTGAGAAAAGGCTAGGATCAGATCCTTCTTCTCTTGCTCTAGGACGAGAGAATCGAAGGAGTTCTCGCGGAATGTAATCTCGGACACATCGTCGATGAAGAATTCCATCCAGCGCCTGTTCTTGAGCGAGTAACCTCTGACCATGGGGCTGGTGAGAATAAGTAGATGCTCTGGGAGCTTTTGGTCCCTCCCATCTTTGCTGGAGTTTTTGGGATCAAAATCGTCATCAACGCCAATTCCCATGTTGGCGTCCATACCATCATCGCTCCCATCATCACCGGCTTCCTCCCCACTGTTATCGCTCTCTGAGTCGGAATCATCATCATTGCCGTCTGGGCGACGACCACCCACGGCGCCTTTCACATATCCCCCCAAGCGGAGATTCTTTGTTGTGGTGAACGAGAGCTCTGGCGTCTCCTGCGCCCAAGTCTTCGCGTCAATTACAATACGCGAGTCCACCATCTCTTGTCGGATGATTTGGTGCTTTCTATCGTACCAGAGAGCCAAGCCGTTGGAGAACTTGTAACGATGCCCAGCCAGCTCATGGAAACGCGACCCACGCTCCCGAAGCAACTGGGTTACGCTTTCCTTCTGGGAATGCATATCGAGAGGAAAGCATGATAGGCTTTGGACTTTCATGGTGCCGAGATACTGGCGGATCTTTTGCCTAGCTTCGGCCCAGCCCAGGATGCTGCCATCCCACTCAATGCACTGGCAATGAAGAGCGTAGAATTTACCGCATTTGTCCTTTGCATACTCGCCGCGGACAAACCTGACTGCAATGGGCTTTCCATTCTTGGACCCCCAAACAATAGATCCGGGCGTGAAGATTGTCCAGACATAAGCCCAGTTGACTGCTTTGGTCTTGATGAAGTCCTCACGGGCCTGGAGAACATCCCGAAGCTCTTCCTCTAGGATCCCGTGCAAGAGTTTGAGGTGGTCCTTGGTGATGTCATCAAGCTCAGGGTCCTCGAGAGCCTGGATGAAGCGGTCCCAGCGGTGGACGAAACACTCAAATGGGTTCTCGAAGACGAGGCGGACAACGTTGACGACAATGCCGGGGTAGTCTTCCAGCACCTTGGCGAGTACCTTCTTTAGGTAAGGCGACTGGATGACCAGACTGTCAATGACCAGCGGCTTGCTCGAGTCTGCCCGCTTGGGTGCAACTGATACCGAGTTAGCAAGCCAAATCGCATCATCACCTTCGTAGAGGAGCCTCACCCTTTCGCACAATGATGGCCGACTTCCGAGTCTCCTTGGTCTCGGTAGTCTCCACGTCTGGCGACTTTGAGGACCATGACTGCCGTCCAGTTTTGTCAAAAGTGGCGAAGAGCACTGTGCTCACCGTGGAACAGCCAACGGGTGTATCAGGAGACCCCTGGGCGTCGTCGCTCTTAGGGCTTTCGCCTTCGTTGCCGCTGGCGGCTGCTTCTACCACATCTGTCGCACTGTTAGTAGCGTCGGTCGGCTTCTTTTCAATGGCGTCTGCGGTCATTTTTTCCTCGAGTGTTCGGGACAGATACAAGAAGGAGGCAAGAGTGCTAATTGCAAAGGTGATGTGAGAGCAGAAAGCTTTCAATCTGATTGGTATGATCCAAACTTGACTGACACGAGTAAGGTGATGAATTGCAGAAGATATGAGAAGAGGTAGAAGCTTGGCTAATTTTCCTGGAGGTGGGAAAGCTGGTGCTCTTAAATATACGAGGCGGACCATGTCAATTCAGCTTCCACCGCAGGAGGCAACTAATCGATGGATGGTTGCATAACTGCAAGGCGACTGCTTTTTAGGCAGCGAACGAATCAAATGCTTAGAATGAATCAATGCCACCATCCAGGATACACAAGGACCCCGTGCGTGACCACCAACAGTGCGTAAGCTCCAGTGACGATCCAGGCTGTTGGCTGGGTGGACGAGGCAACAAGGCATCCATATGCTGTTGGCTGCGGTGAGATATTTATCAAAGTCCACCACGTACGATAACTGATAACTGAATTAGGTAAAACACACCGAGAAGATTGAATCAAGACCTGTACACAGGAACGCGTATTGGGGGTTGGGGACTGCCATTGTGCACAAGCCAAGAGAATCTAGAGTATGGGGTTGGGGAATAGATCGGCGGGATACGCCAAAAGCACACAATAATCAAATAGGTTGCAAGAGACCCTAGGAGGCTGGCCTGGAGTTACGTCACTTGTCTTGATTTGCCTTATACCGCGTTCAAGGCCTATCATGAAGACTTAGCACATACGCAAGTTCTACTGGCAACTGTTTAATCTCAAGCATAATGGCTTCCATTCTTTAGCTTTTTCTGGTCCCATTACGCAAGAGGTACTATAGCAGGTCTGGTGCTCTCGCTGAAGAGTAATAAAATGGGTTGACCTATCAGGATTATTCGTCGCGCTGTCGAATACATCCGATCTTGGTCAAGCCTAATGGTCAAAAGCTAAGGAAAGGCAGTTTGACTCAAATCGAGTATAGTATGATGAATGCTGCGTTTTTACCGCGTCAATCGTTGGCTGTAACTAACTGGCGAATCTGCCTGACACTCGATGCCGATCATCGCCTTCCGATGCCTGCTGGCTGCGAGTGTGGCGACTTATCAATGGAACACAACTCACTGGCGCCCTAACAAATATGCCTGCCTGTATGCCTTGGTAGCGTAAGATTCGGTGTTTGGTCGCAGATTATCGAGGATGGCTGAGACGAGGAATTGCTAAGTACATGTATAGCCGGCCGCACTCAGGCTGAGGGAAACTTGGAAAGCCACCCGAGTCGCCGTACTTGAGAGAATCCCATAGTGCAACGATCCGGAACATATTTCTTTTGCTCTTTTATGGTAAAATAGTGAGGCCTCGCACCGCTTGCTCAGTCCTCCATCTACTAGGTTCTTGCTGGCAGGGAGCTTTGAAACCTGCTTCAAACAGCTATAGAACGAGTCACTTCAATGACGTAGCATTTTGGATAAGCTGTAACGCCTATCCATCACTGTGCCCAAATGTATCACCAGAGGCCTTTGTTCCGGGCTTCCCGTTCTTCACTGGTCAGTATCATTGGCTGCCCGGCCATGTAACAGCGACCGCCATCTCCACTGTTTCTCGTCATTAATCATCCACATTGCGCAGAAAACTCTGGCAGCTCAGCCATCAGGCCACGAAGTCCTTTTCCTAGCCCAGACTATCTGTCTCTCGGGTGTCTCCTAGCGGCACTATCGCCCTTGGCCGTATCACAGCGAGGCCCTTGCGTCGTTCATCATGGACTCGCCATCATCGCCGCCGCCTGGATCTTACCCCGCTTCTCTTCCACCGGGATGGGCTGCTCAGTGGAATGAGCAGTACAAAGCATGGTGTGTTCATACCCAAGAGTCGAAGGGAAGAAGGCTTCCTACTAACTATCCGGGGTCTTCAGGTACTTCTTCAATTCTCACACAAACGTCTCGCAATGGGACCATCCAGGGTCGGCCCAACAGCAGGCCAGCAGCGAACCAAAGGTAGCCAGCAACGAACCAGTGGTGGCCAGCGATTCACAGATGGCCGACGATGAAGCATTGGCTGCCCGCCTTCAAGCCGAGGAGGATTCGCGAGCCACACCACAGTTGAACATGGACACTCATCCCTACAGGGGAAACAGGGCCATGGAAGACAGCGACGCTGCTCTCGCGGCGAGACTACAGGCAGAAGAGGATGCTCTCGCCGCCCAGCAGAGATCACCGCAGCCCCAGCAGCACCCGTACTCGCCCAACCACTTCCAACAGAATCCTGCATTCTCTCCCCAACAACAGCAGCAGCCATACGGCGGCGACTATATGGCGCATCAGCAGCAACCCTACCAGCAACCCTACCAGCAGCAACCATATCCACAGCAGCAACAAGGATTCGGTCCTCAAGGCTATCCGCAATATCCGGGCTATCCCAACCAGCAGCAGGCAGCGTATCCAAACCAACAGTACGGGCAGCCGCAACCGCAAGCACAAACGACCAGTGGCCAAAGTGGAGGGTTTCTGGGGAAGCTGACCGACAAAGCTAAAGGACGGTTATCTGCTGCCGGCGTCAACCTGCCTGCGTCTAGCGGCAGTGGAGGTGGAATCGTAGGCTTGGGCAATAGTGCCTTGGCTGGGTTCAAGGACAAGCTCAAGACGAAGAATAAAACCAGCCAACCGCAACATAACAATGCTACCAGTAATACCACTGGCTACCCGATGTACGGTGCGTATCCCTATGACAACGGAGGAGGCCATCATGGCGGGCATCACGGCGGGCATCAGGGTGGACACAACGGCGGTGGACATCATGGCGGGGATGGCGGAGGTGGCCACGGTGGTGATGGAGGCGGCGGAGGTGTCGGTGGGGGATAGTGAGTGGAGGAATGGTTGCTCAAACATAGGGATCATCTGGACGCTGGGTTTTTGATGCTTGGGATCTGGGAGATGGTTTTCTGACCTTGGAGTTTTATACACGAATGCCAACTCTGCTTTTTTTGCACGCAAAGCGACACAGCCATATGAAATCGTTCAAATAACCTATCGAATGCATATCGAGAAATCAGTTTGCAGCTAACAATACTTCAGTTCAAAGGTGGCATTACCCAGTAGTAAAAGCTGAGAGATGCTACAAGTGTTTATTATCCCAGTGTGTTCAATGTTTTAACATAGTGCTCATGTAATAGACTTCATTGACGACTTCTCCTCCTCTTAATCGACCGCCGTCAACACACCTCTGCTCATTGTATCCTATTCCTCGTCATCGGTGTCGTCCCGGTCAACGGGATCCTCGTCATCAACATACTCATCCCAACGATTCCAACCGAGCTGGGCCTTTCCTATAAAACGTAGTAACTTGGTGCGATCGGCCTCGATCATCGAGTTAAATGATGAATCAACTTTCAAATCAGGCTCCGGTGCTTTACCTCCACACGCTGAATCGTGCTGATAATACAAGGTAATCCTGTTATTTGCCTTCTGGTCTTCGTTGCTCATGTTTTCTTTTAAAGGTAACGGATAGTTAACGAGATCTCTGTTGGACCAGGTGTATGGACTTGTGAACATGGCTTGCCACTCTTCTTTACCTCCGAGGAGCGGAAACATCTCCCAATGAATGTACATTTCGGGTGATGGATGCAGGCCCCATAGATGGACGACCAAGTCAAATAGCAAGTTCATTCTTAGCCCATGCTCTTGCAGCACCTCAACTTCATTCCCGAACTTCGCGGGAACAGGACTACCAGTCTTGTATAGGCAGTAGTCGTGGGTATAAATCCTTATTTGCTCTAGTTTTGCCGGTGGCTGGACCGGAAACATGCGCCTCCAGGAGGCATCAGGACGCAAGACGCTTTCGTGGCGGTCTTTCCGGTACCAATCCACAGAGTCGCACACAATGTTGTAGAAGCATTCTGGGCTTACTGGCCGGTTCAGCGAGAAGAATGTCGGAAATAGAACTTTGAGAAGAGGATTCTGCTGCGGCGTGTCGCTAGCCGGGCTTGGTGTGAAGAATAATTTTTGCTGTATCGCATGGGACTGCGATACAACATCTTTGAAGTGGGAGCTGATGAGCTGGGACAGGAGGAGGTCTCTGTGGTCGAGATGGAGGAGGATCGTTTCCAATAACTCGACTGCGGAGAAGACCGTCTCCATAGCCTCATGGCTATTATGAACCTCAGGGACCTCCATCGTAGAGAATTGACAATGACTTGGACCATGGGTAGGAGCTTGACGAGAAGTTCAGAAGAGATCCCTGGTCCTCTCTATATATACACAAACTAAGAGAATATAGCCCCTGGCAATATAACCTAGTTCTTGACCATGTAGAGGAGCGATGCTACGTAGGTGTGACTCATCAAGTCATGCTTCTAATCAAGTCAGATGCGACCAATCCCCCCAGCATCATTGATTGGCTGCGCGCCATTTGCGATTTTTCGCGCAGCAATTTGCGTTGCACCGCTCTTCTAATAATGGAATCTCTTATTTAAATTCTGGTAGTTCGAAGCCGAAATTTGATGCCATTCTTAGACACCAGAAAGAACATGAGGTGAAAGCAGGATGGAGGTGGGCAGCCCGCTCTAGGCAGCCACAGAAGCTGCTTACTTTGTTCCAATTGGCCGCCTGTAGTTTGCCACCGTCGCGGGGAAGTAATGGGAATATAATAAGCCGTGATGAATGATGGGTGGTCAGCCTTTGTAGTTTGGGGGATTATGGGAGGGAGCTGATTTTGAACCACCCAAGACTACATGTAGGCAGCTTGCTACAATATATGTTACAATGAGAGAGGCGATTATGCAGAGATGAGTCATTCCATTTGTATTCTCACAACAATTTCTAGATAATTTATGACAACTTTCAGCTTTACCTCCAGGTGCTGAGATTGAGGGATAAACGAGCCGATAACATTGGTGGTGAATATTTTGCTCTTCTGTCTGACAAACCGCGCATGCTATAGAAACTTGCCAATGGTATTGACCTGACTAAGGTGATGTTTATTGTGAAAGACTTCGAGCGATTTGCCGAAGTAAGTGGCAGCGCGAGTTCGTCACTCTTTAAGGGGGCTCGCTCCTGACAAGGTACTCCTTCTCTGCCACTTCTTTCGCTCAACATATTGGTTCACGAGAAGAGATTGTGTTTAAGGCAGGGCCTGCCGGGAATAGATATGGGCCCATGCCGAATTCCCAAGCTTCATTCTATGGCGTCTGCTTTCGTGCGGGTTGGTAAACCAAACGATGCCATTTATCACCAAGTCATCTTGCCAGGACCGGGTAGGTTAGATCAGGTTTGGGACGGCATCGGAGTCTAATTGAGAAAAACTGCCTCGAATAGAAGCTTGTGGCTCGGATCTGATCAAATCTCTAGATTGAACTGGCTGGGCTCAAGGGACCCATCGCATCATCACCAACCCGGCGTATGAATTTTTGGGGGCTGCGAGGCGGCACGATTGGGCCACCATGATACATCCTCTGGATGCGTGAGACAAGCGGGTCCAGGCATTCAGCGACCGCCGCCTTTCTTAGGCTCGCCATGTAGCCTGTCGAGAACGCCAACCGTAGATGACATGAGTGTTGTGAATGGCGCGTATGTGGGCTTTGGTTCCTCTGGTTCTGGGGACTGGGAACGTGCCATGAGTGGAATTCGGCCATCTGCCGAGGACTTGTGATTGCCAGAGAGCCCTGCCTCCTCTATGTGTGCATCTTTGCGCGCATTTCGTCGACTTATGTGCCGTCCCCAAAGCAACCCTATGACCATGATTATGAAGAGGAGCCCGAAAAAGCCACCAACAGCAGATCCAACGACTATTTTGTCTAGCTTGGTCTTGAGCGGCTTTGCTCTTGGGAACAGGGGGTGCTCATTGGTGCTAGTGGCGAGTGTCGAGAAGGAATTAGAGAGGAAGAGGAGGGTTGAAAGACTGCCTATCCGGATGGCCATTCTTCGATGCAAAAGTTGTTTTCGACATAACATGTGTGGGAGACTTTGTGCTAACAGTTCCGGAATGTGGGAAAGACGCCGCTTTTATGTTACACGCTCAACTCCCCCATACATAGATGCAGCTTGAACTCGAAGAGCAACGCCACACTTGGGCTGGGTTCTAGGCTGATTTCCCATGCCAAGCTTCATCGCGAGCAATACGGAGGTGGAGTGTAGCAGGGGGTTTGTGCACTAAGTGCGTGTCAGAATGTCACTACCACAAGCCCTTAAAATAACTCAGCCTCCAAGTCTAATTTCTTTATTTCTACAGACAGCTACTCAAAGATGTGATGAACAGTGAGCTTCAGGGTGTTTGGAGGAAATAATTGTTGGAGAACAGCTAGTATCAGATGTAGTTAGAGTAAAGGAGTCTGGAAAACCGCGTTTTGGATTGGCTTCAGAACATGCGGATTAGCCGCGCTGTATTTCTTACACACCACTTGCTGCCCCGTGGAGGCAATAAGCCGAGATTGGAGATGTTTTTCAAGTTCTGCCTGTCACCCACCACATGGCACCTCGCTTAAATCATGCTGTTGACAAGGATGTCATTTAGGGCTGTAACCGAGCATCAAGAGACTTGTCTAGCGTGAATGAGATCAGCCTCTGTTAAGTCCAAAGTAATGGTAGCTGACCCATCCTGTTCAATAGTTTTGTGACCTGAGCGTGGGCACCTAGATAAACAAAAGAGAAGAACTTTTAAAAGGTATTGATAATGCGTTGTAGTTGTATCGCTATGCTAAAAATATCAAATTCACATTTTATAGGGTCCAAACCGCCACCGCTTGTGGTTCTCCTCCACCCACCATCGTGTCATATATGCACCCTCCTCCACCCACTTGGCAACCTCCTCGCCGTGCTTCTCCTCCACTCTATGAAGAAAAGACAAGAAGTCGATGCTCTGGACCGAGTTCTGTTCTCGGGGATCAGCAGTGAGGTTGGTAAACCTCCATTCTACGTTCCCGACGACGGGGACGACGAGGTGCCAGTCTGGGTGGCTTGGGTCGCGTGCGGTGAGCATGGAGCGGCCTGGGTTGGCAACGTTGTATTGCCATTGGACCTGGCCTTGGCTTTCTGACTTTTGTGGCCTAATGAGAGACTGGCCTTCGTAGTTGTTCAGCAAATCCGTTGCTACTCGGCGAGTGGTGGTGTGAAGTGAGTTTGTCTCAAGGAGGAGGTCGAGGATGGTCGGTAGAATCTGTGAAGCTGAAACAGGAGCCGAAACATCAAAGACCGGTAGCTTGGGGTGGGATAAGACGAGTGGAATATGGTCGTTTCCGATGTTCGGGTTATAATAAGACGCCACGATGTCATTCTCCGGCATCGACAGCCCGTGGTCGCCTTGGAACACCACCAGGGTTTCGTTCGCCACACCTTGTTCGTCGAGGATATTAAGTAGCTTTTGCAACCAAGAGTCTATATAGCCTTGGGCATTGATATAATGAGACAGATCGTTGAGACCATTGGCGACAGGTATGTACTTTTTGTATTGCGGGATGCCAAAGGGGTGATGGCCGGTGTTCGTTAGGTGGGTGAGAAATACTCTTTCATCTTTCTCTTTAGCGGAAATGAATGCATCTCGAATATATTCGGTGAGAGGTTCTTCTTCAAATCCAAAGTAGTTGACATCGGGATTATCAACGCGTCCATGTCTCGCACGGTCGCTTCGCAAGTAGTTTCGATCAATGGTGTTGCGTTTGGGAAACCCAATCTTTTCCATCAGTTCCGCATTTCCATCAAACCCAATTGTTGAGGTTAGGAAGTAGTAAGACTTCCACGTTGAGGATGCGTAGGGCTCTTTCCTATCCTGCTCAGTGTCCTGAGCATTCATAGCGTTCAGGATATGAGGTAGGCAGGGCTGGTAGATGTGGTGCCTGTAGTCCTTGTTGAAATCGGCGATCAGGGGCGCGACACCGCAAAGTGTGCCGATCTGGCTTTTGAGCGTGTAGGTGCTCGCAGTCTGGGCATTCGTAAATCGAACACCGCCGCGGTGACGTTTCTCTGTGTGATTGAAACCATCATCGTAGTCCCCGGTGATATAGTTGGCCGTTGGCGTCAGAGTAGACAGTTTGTCCTGCACTTCTTTTGGCATCTCGTGGTTGGGGAATGTCTGAGCTAGACGACCCCATACCATTCCATCTCTTTTAATTGGAAACATATCGTTCCTCGCACTCTCGAGAAATACAACAATTACATGCCGTATTGAGATATCCTTGAGTTTGTCTTGCAAATGGGAGAGTAATGGCTGGTCAAGATTTGATATCTTCATCGGGTCTGATGTTCCATTGTAATGCGATTTGTTGTTGTACCAATCTCCAAAACCCTCAAGGACGACCCCCTGTGGAAGCCATGGCAATGGAATCGAATCCGTGAGGGCAGATAGGTTGTCCCAGCGATGTTGGATTCCCGTATGGTAGTACGGTTGCAGCTGGTCTAAGAGGGGCGACGATGACGAAAAATCAATAAAGGGCAGTAGTACAGTGGCCCACGAGACGAAAGCCAGAGAGCTATCGTTGGGTCTGGTCAATACCAATACAGCCAAGGCAATCAAACCGGTGGCGACGAAGCAGTATGCTCCAAAACGCAAGATGGATGATAGACTTTGTGTTGGTGTCGAGGTCTGCTGGTCCACTTCATCCAGAAACCTCTGCAGCCGCTTTGGAAGGAATGGGTATTCCTGGGAACCCAAAATATCCGATTCGAGTCCTGGGTCCCTAGTTAATGGTTTATTCGCATCTTGTTTAGCCTTGGATTGGGAACGGCTAGGGCATCTGGCCCCTATGATCAGACAGCAGAGTGTGCGCCAAACTAGGAGGATGAGCCAGTCCACGAGACTGGCAGAGAAACCAAAGAGGTGATAGATGGCATCCTGCAGAATCCACCCAAAAGAGAGGAGAAAGGCAACAACGATAGCGCATGAGAAGGCGCCCGATAACACAAGCCCAAATGACGAGCCACCTGCAGCCAAGCCAACATCCCTCCAGCGGATTTCGGACCCTGTAGTTATGTGGAAGGTTAAAGCCACAATGCTGAGTGATATGCTGTAGATTATGATGAATTTGTTCAGCCAAATAAGGATTGGCTGTGCGCGGACGGGTGTGCGGGAGAGCCAGTGCTCAGTCTGGAGGCGTAGGATGATGAGGAGGAAGAGGTCTTGGGCGAAGAAGGACGCGCCCCATACTACCAAGTGCTTGGTGGAGATGGACGACAAGTGGCCATGGATATAGGCAACTTTAGTGCTCAGTACCGCCAGAGTAGTGATGGTAAATGCCGTCTTGGTGTTGAGGAAGGATGGGAGGGAGGCCTTGGCGAGCCCCCTTGGGAGCGGCCGCCTAGTCACTCCGTTCATTTTGGCCGGGAATGGCCCGCTGGAAAGATAGAGATTAAGACAGACAGTCCGGACTGACTGTCTATTCCTTCATGGTTGTCTTCGGGTGAATAGAGCGTTGATCAGCGGCTCAGTCCCGGCCATGGAAAGCCAGCCGTCAACAGTCATATAGCCACGGAGAAATCGAGCAAAAGGGAAGTGGGCGTAGCCAGTTTTGGGCTAAGTTATGGTTAAATTCTGGTCGAGGAAGAATCACGCTCCCCTCCCCTTGCTCCCCTGAACTAGACCTAATATTGACGCCAAGCATTGCTTCTGCATGAGGCTATGCTGATGGGCGTAACTCGGCCAATGACGCTCGGTCCTGGTTCATAAATTGTCAATCTTTCCTAAATAAGCAGGCCCGGTTTCGTGAAGCCGGTCGGCTAGAACCCAGCCTTAGCACAAGGCCAGAACACGAAACCGTTGCATGACGTTGTAAACCAGTCTTAGAGAACTTCTAGAAACCAAATAGGACGCGGGCTAACCCAAGTTACGCAGATAAACGCGCTTTCACCAGTCGAAATGTGCATGAAGTTCATTACAGGGCCTGTCAAAACACACAACTCCATCTCCCCACCTCATCCTTCCAATAATGCTACGCCAATTTATTCCAGGGTCGCGGCTGATCAATGGAGGCTGTACTTTACGCGTCGGCCAATAATTGACATCACGACTGGCCCGCCTAGGGAGAATGTCCATTCCCCCACTGTATCAATCTAACTATCATATATCGATTCAGCATTCTTCTTACGTTATTCAAACTAATACATGGACTTTGTCCGTTAATCACAACCTAAAGCTATAGATAGTAGAGCCTAGATCAACAGAACGGGGTACAGAACTCATGTAGTCAAGTTGAGCACATTGAAAGACAGGCCAGCGTGCATACGATTTCTAAGCGCAGCGTATAGCAAGTACATGTTTGTCGCGAGGTCGCCGACCTCAGATTGCTCAAGCCTCAGGGTCTTTCTGTCACGGCAACAGGCCCAGTAAGCTTTTACGCGCTGGCATCAAGTCGATAAATTTGTATTGCTGGTTAGAGCACACGGTCAGCTGATTCTACGACATTCCTAGGGAATTAACTGGCACTCTTCTAGTTGGAAATGTCGGGGTGCATCCGGGACGTCAGCATGTTTTTACTCGTGATTTCTCAGCTGACAATCGAGCTTGTTGTTCTACATCTTAGGTAATTCTATGAGGAGGAGTGCCTGCATCATGGGTTGATACTCTTGGGAGCAGCCGGTCCTAGGTTTCTTGGTTCGTATCTTTAATTCTATTTCTCATCAAGGCATAATAGTAGCTGCTTCAACGGTAATGGCTGTATGCCTACCTACTCATAAAGAAGCATGGTTTCTTCATACGAGCAAGTCCTCTTTATGTACTCTTAGTAAGAGTGTCTTCTATTGGAAAGTTGTAGACTAGTCTACCTTAAGTCTAGGGATCTCGGAGTCGAAAGTCGGCTAAAGCCTCTAGCTAGACAAGATCAACAGGGATATATTTTGTCCAGTCTCCCTTCGCAGCCAACCAGTCCAGTGGCTCCATATGCTCGACAGCACCGCCGTATGGTCGGCTGACATAGTATCCGATGAAACGCTGGATTTCGGGCGAGAAGGTCTGGACCACATCGACCGGGATCGCAACGTACTGGTTCTCCTGTTGGCGGCACCATCCCGGGGTAGCAAAAGTAGTGAGAAGAGTACTGGTTTCAGTACTCGTATTGGGCAGCTGGCCAAGAAAGACTGATCCTAAGCTGCTCTCGTGTTAGTAAAATAAGAAATCGAGATTAATGCAATGAATGGGTTCGACTCACTGGAGGATAGCGTCGCCCTTTGCAAGCTCGACAATGAACTCCTCCTTTTCCTTTGGGTCTCTGCTGTCCTTCCATTGGTTCGATCCAACGACGACCCTCAATGCGCCGTTTGAGCGAGTGATGGGCGTGGCGGCAAAGGTGATCCCAAAGTCTGTCTCTCTCTTGGCAGGATGAACGGTATGATGACAGTCGTCCTGCCTTCGCAGACCCCATCCGGCGGAACCAGGAGCTGAGGTCAGAGTGGCCGTCAAGGAAAGCTGAGGTTCGGCGGTGGAGACTGTACGCTCTTCCTCGTAGAAGATGATGCAAGTATCGGTGAGGATTCGCTTGACAAGGTCATGGTAGAGTTTGTTCATCATGAGCTCCTTCACAAAAGTTGGGCTCTTAGCTGCAAGCCCGAAGGATTGACCTTCGGGTAGAGTACCGGCTTCCTTGAGCACTGCATCGGTGGTCTCTGGCTGAGCAGCGGATTTTATGATGGCCACCCCGTCAGCTTTGAGGGTCTGCAGAACATCGTGGGCCTCGGCAGATGCGAGAAAGGTCTTGACTGCAGTAGGCATTGTAGCTTAGGTGAAGGAATAAAAATGAGAGATCTCTAGAAGGCCGATTATTGCTTATTGGGTGGATAGACGCTTGGGTCCGATGAATCTGTTGGTGTTAATGAAGGCGATAACAAGGTGCTTTTAATTCAAAGAAATCATTCATTTGATCTCCAACTTCAAACTACAGTTCAATTACTCACAATAGAGCCGATCTGATGAAGATATCGTGTTTGATAAGCCTGGTTGGGCTGTCTAATATCCGTTGTACTTCCTTTGTGGAGATAGCCTATGTTTACCGTTTTGGGTTTACTTCTCCTATCGCCCCTTTGCTTGGCCTGTCGACACGATCGACCAAATGACTTTCGGAGTCTGGATTAGAATTTTGGGAATGTCGGATTGGATCAGTGTTTTCCCACTTTTGGATGTATCGACATGAGGCTATATAAGTGCCTTTACGTATTGCCATCATGAATTGACGAGCAAGTAACAACCGATCGCCTTTAACTGAATTCGTGAACTTGCTAGATCTCCTCGCTTCAATCGACTGGTACGCTTGAATCTTTCAAAATGCCTAACCCAGTTCACCAGAAGAACAACCCGGAGGTTACTATGCTCGATGCTTCCTCCCCAATCGAGGAAATCGTCAAAGTGATTCGCCGAGATGGAGGAATCATTATTAAGAACTTCATCACCCCTGAAGATGCCGATAAGATACAGGCAGAGGGGGACCCCTACTACAAGCGTGTTGGCAAATACGAAGGCACTCTGTTTCCTGCATCCGACCCTCCATTGAGGTATAATTAAACGAGGCTGAACTTATAACAACTGGGACTTGTTCGCTAACCGGGGCAGTGGATTTGCGGGCAAATCGCCTACCTTCGCCCATAAATGTCTCAATCACCCAACATATCGTGAGACGGCTAAGGCTCTCCTCAGGGAGGAATCGTAAGTGCCCGGTATCACTCCCTTCACTCGACGTGTTACTGATTGCTTCCCAGTTACCCCTACCGAGATGGCAAGCGCTATAAGTGTGTCTCAAACCCCGTTCTGGCTGTATCAGAGGCCTTCTCACGTGGGCGATCAGATGCCCAGCCCCTTCATCGCGATGATATGGCGCAACACTTTGACCATGTCGAGGGAAGTGGCGAGAGTTCTCTTCTCGGATTGCTTGTAGCTGGAACCGTAAGTTATAAACAAGATTCTGCCCACCAACTAGGGAGTTTCTGCGAATATTAACATAATTGTATAGAAATGCACCTTTGAGAACGGGGCCACTCAGGTCATCGTCGGATCTCACAAATGGGCCGAGGGTGCTCTCACCGGGCCAGCTGACCGCTCTCTTTGCTCTACATGCGAGATGGAGAAGGGTGATGCAGTCTTCATTATCGGCAGCATTTGGCACGGCGCAGGTGCCAACATCACTGATGAGCGCCGCAACATCTTTTCGTGCCACATGGTCCGCGGCACCTACCGCCCTGATGAGAACCAATTTCTCGCCATTCCTCGCGAGACCATTGAGACGTATAGCCCTGAGGTTCAGGCTCTGATTGGCTGGTCTGCCAGTCAACCGCACCTCGGTCATGTTGAGAATAAGGATCCCATTCTCACTCTTGGGAGCAAGGAAGATCCCTTTGGATATGGTAGTATGCTGGGGGAGCTTGTTTCTGCCACACCAGCCTGAATAACCCACCTATCAACGCATTTTGTAGCAATGAGATTCCAGGAAAATTGATATCTTTTGGACGGCGGAGATAGAGCGAGCAGCTGACAAGGAGTATGCATAACTGGGTTGCCTATAGCAAGATATTCAATTCCAGACCCAGTTCTTTCACCACATTTTTCCATGGTCTCCAGCCCTTTTCATCAAGACAGTCCCAAACCCTGTTGAGAACGAGAACCAATGATAGAGGTGCTTGAAATCCTAGTGAAGTGTGCATTCTCATCAACCCGTCCCGATATATATCTCTGCTCTCTACAGTCTTCGCGTGGACTGCGAGCATAAAAACAGGCCACATGCATGCTTGAAGCCATGATAAATTCTGTAAACTATCTAGCGACTTCTCTAACGCCTCCTGTATTCGACAGTCATCCGAACTGAGGGCATAGATGTCGTGATATATGTAGCACAGCAGGCCGAGTCTCCATATCTCGTTGAAGTGATGAACCGAGTGAATGTATTCGGGGGAGACAGAGGACATGTCAGGGTGCCAATTCTTGATTTTATCCAAAAGCTCAGCTACGTTCAGGGTGGCGGACAGAAGCTGATCAGTACTACTGCCAGTCACCCTGAGTTTGTGGATTTTCACAGCAAGATCAGTAGATTCACGTAGAAGCATGTGCATCTTCCAGTCAGGCATATTAGCCCACCAGTAAGACTGATGAAAAGACATGTCAATAGTCCCTGGCGACGTCTCGCAAACCTCATCTAGACTCGGTTAATGGCTAGTTTCAATACGGTAACGTTCTTAGTTCTCACCTCCATCGATGCACTTGATTTCCTCGAGTGACTCCAACGGTTCAATGCCAACAAGTAGGGTCCGTCCCATTGTTGCCATCCAATTGAACTGCATGAGTACACACTTTTTATCTGTTTCGACATCGCCCTTTGCCTCGGCCAGCCCGAGTTTCAACAGCCGCCTGCAACCAACCAGTTTCAAGCTCCACGAATCGAGTCCTGTTCCGATCACCTACTCAAATCAGCCACTGGTGCTTCAAAGCGATTTAAAATCTCACATCAAATATAATAGAGAGCATCACGGTCAACCCGAGGGCCCAAAACCCTCGCCCCTTCTTCAGAGCGTCCCGGAACGAGCTCTTGATTTCCATTCGAAATGCTTTTAGCTTGTCATTTTCCAAATGTCCCAATTTGGAGAGATGTAGGCCGGACGCAAATAAGATGGTATCCATCAATGGTTTACATTCGATCGCAAGCGAGCCATACACTTTTCGATACGGGTTTCGAACCGGCTCCACAGGATACAAGCTGAGGGAGAGGGTATTGATGACTTTTAGGGTGAGCTTCGGATGTCCGCCATACAAGCTTGTGGGTTACTTACAGTGATGAAATAAGCGATCTGTGAGCAGTCCGCTCGGACTCGTGATTCTAAGCGGCTGGTAAGGGCTTAAAATAGTGTTCACGACGGGAGAGGTAGCGAATTCCCCGGCTTCTTCATAGTCGTTTAATATGAATGGAAAAATAGGCTCGGATGCATGAGGATCATAAGACAAAGATAAGGCCAAAGTGACTTCGGGGGCGTTATAATCGTAATCGAGAGTTTCCTCAAAGATGTTGAACAATGGTTGGTGATGGTGTATGTTCTCTTCCTTGTCAGATATATCTGGCAGTGGAGAGTTGCTCAAAGGAAAGGTTGAGGGTGGGCTCGAAATCTCGACTTGGGGCACCTCCCGTGGATCCTGAGGTTGCGTTGGCGGACAAGAAGGCATATTCTCTGCTGGAGATAGGTTCTTCGCACTGTTTGACAGTCTGGAACTCCTTTGGCTCGAACGAGGTGGTCGGCCCCTTCTGGCCTTGCCATCAGCACGGCCCACGCGGGTCAGTTTGGAGACCATATGCCCATCAGCACTATTGGAGATGGAAAACTCGCCCAGCTGGATGGCATAGCCGCCGCATTGGACCCCTCTCGACCGGCAATTGCGGCAACCCGGCTTTTCCTCGTCGCATTTCTGGTGTCTTTTTCGACATGTCCAACAACCTTGAATGTGTCAGTGATCCAGAAGGGAGTGGGGAGGGATTATCGGGGGAAGCTACCATGTCTGGATCTGATACTGCTCATGATTGTCTAATACGCATAAACTAGCGAACGAGAAGCCGAAATTGGAAATGGCAAGGATAGTTAGATCTCAATCTTTCTGGCGTGATTTCTGATGGTGAGAGAATGAAGGATGTCGAGGACGGGCTTTATCGTCTGGGTATGCCGCAGGCACCCCACAACGATTGCATAGAAACCACTTGCTGTTAGTCTTCCCCGCGTGTGCCTACATCGGATATAGTGGATTATGGAATACAAAATGATTATGTTGGATGTGATTGGTTTGAGTCTGCCGTTACGCGACGTCGTAACGTCTTAGTAGTGTTATCTGAGCCAGGGTAACCCGCTTTGCTAATCAGTAAACCAAGCAGGAGAGCCATTCTGGGCTGTTAGCGTCTCTTGATTCCCCGCTGTTGTTGGCTGGCAATACTCCTTATCATGGTTTCTGAAATCTCTCGTCTCTTCATTGGCTGGACGTTACTGCGACTTGAAAGATAGCCTTAACAGCACCATATCGGGATTAGCTCACATCTCCGTATCTACAACTTGGAATGGCCGGCTGTTACAGTAGATAACCGAGCGAATAAGGCTCATTGCTTACGTCCGGGAGAGCCACAGGATAACATCAGGAGAGTTGCTCAGCTTATACCTAATGAAGATGGTGTACACTATCAGACATGGCTTTCCGGTTATCGGATTGGCCGAGTGTGTAGAGTACCAAGGCCTTGTCTGAGAAAATGTACCTCTGTGGAACAACTTTCGTGATAACACGACTATCCCAATTGCTCGCATGCACGGTGTCCCAACCGATACGTGTGTCTACGTGAGAAATAAGCATTTTTGTATGGGGAACAACCGGAAATTGGCACATGGGTGTGATGGGCTCAGCAAGCAAGTATAAGGACTAACACAATCGCTCCATATCTCTTGAACGACAGGACATTTGCTGCTGTCGAGAACAATCGCTTTCGATTCGAACGCAAGAATCCAAAGCAATATGTCAGAAACAGAAGTTCTAAGAACCAAAACCCATCTCCCAAACACATTTGGGTTATGGAGTGGCATCAGCGTCGGCTGGCTCACTGTCAACGCCTTTGGAGGACTGTCGTTCATCCTATTCGTCAGTCTCTCGGCCGGAGGGCTCCCTGCTCTTTTATATGGATAGCAAGTACCTTTCTCCATCGCGACGAGACAATGAAAGCTAACCAAGGACAGCATCGCTTCATCGGCATGTGTGTTGTGCATCATGCTTGTTTTCTCTCAATGCGCAGCTAGGTTTTCTACGGCAGGTAAGTCTTGTTTCCCCCGTTGTTGTATTTCAAGCCATTTTCAAAAGCTCACAACTGTTGTAGGTGGCGCCTACCATTATGCCGCATTCTTGCTCCCCGATCAATACAAACGCTCAGTTTCATATCCTCTCGGCTGGCTCAACTATTTTGGATGGATTTTGACCCACGCCGCCTGTTGCTCTATAGTAGCCACTGCCCTTCTAGCTTTGGTTAATTTATGCAACCCGAGCTTTGCAGTTGACACTCGATGGCAGCTTTTTCTAGCATATGTTGCAGTTGCCTGTATCTGTTGGTTGGTGAATCTATTCGGGCTCAAAGGCATTCCCACGTTGGAGATCCTCGGCTGTAAGTCTCAAATATTGATATTTTCAATATCCCAAACGACTAATCTGTGACTAGGTTGGGTTACCGCCCTCGGTTTCGTTGGATTCAGTGTCGCATTGCTTGTCAAAGCCCCGAAGGCATCTGCGGCATCGGTGTTTGTGGAGGTGAACAACGAAACAGGGTATGATTCAAGATTCCAGTCTATATTATGATGGTGCCGTAGGCTAATCCAAGTAGATATTCATCCGCCGCGTTTGCCGTTGTGTTGGGCTTGATGAACTCGTTCGCAACCCTCATGGGACTTGATAGCCCAACGCATTTGGCAGAAGAGCTCCCTCAGCCTAAGAGAACACTCCCTCAAATTCTCACCGTGGTAATTCTGAGCCAATTTGTCGTTGGAGTTGTCTGGATCCTTGTCCTGGGATTTTCCATAACAGACCTGGATGCTATTCTCGCCACCTCGACTGGGTATGTGACCTGGTTTTGTTTTGTCAGCTTCATTCTAACAATCAAATAGAGTTCCAATCGTTGAACTTATCAGACTTGGCACCGATAGCCAAGCGGCAGCCATTGTGTTCACTCTGATATTAATGATTAACAATGGTACTTCTGCTCTTGGCAGCGCCATCACTATGAGCCGACAGGGCTTTGCATTCGCCCGAGATGAGGGATTATTTTGGAATGACAAGTACTTCAAGCTAATAGCAACGAAACACGTTTTGGCAGTGACTGACCGTTTGAACAGACTAACGGCAATGTCACCCAAAACCGGCCTGCCTATTTGGTCAATTACATTTCCTTCAGTTGTTACTCTTTTTATTGGCTTGGTCTTCTTATTTTCAAATCAAGCATTCAATGCGATTATTGGCGCTCAGGCAATCTGCCAGATCATCAGCTTCGGTAAATACAGACTAGTCTGCTCAATGAAAGAAGTTTGAGGAGCGATATCTAACTATGTCCTTGATAGGTTTTCCTGCTTTTCTGTTGTTGGTCACAAAATCATCTAAATTGCCCGCGGCAAAGTCATGGAACTACGGTATCTGGTCGACTCCTATCTACGCGGTTGCTTGCGTCTATGTTTTGCTGGTGACGGTGGTCGCTTTCGTGAGTACTAGGCGATATGATAACAAATGTTGAATTTTGCTAACGTTAAAAGTAGATTCCTCAGTCATCTCCAGTTACCACTTCGAACATGAACTATGCCGTTTTGATCATGGGCATATTTGCCATGGCGATGGCTGGTACTTGGCACCTTGTTGGCCGTCACAGATTCTCGCCTCCGGTCCTTACCGAAACGTTTGAAGAAAGCGATGTGATTCAGGGCGTGGTAGATGACGTGGCATCAAAGGAGGGCTCCCTGAAGAAGACATCCGCTTCAAGCGTTGACCCTGTTGTAGTCTAAATGTGGTGTAGGGGGATCTAGTGACGGGTGGTTTGTAGATGGAGCACGGAGCTATGGGTGATAGGGGCAATTAGGTGTAGATTTGTGTCGAGTAATTAATAAAGTACGTTTTATAGGAGAGACTATTATAAGTCTTAGTTGGCATAAATGTTCTGAATGCGATTTCCTTTTCGTCCATGTAACCATACTCGAGCCTACTAATTCCTTCCTTGACAAAAAAACCAAGTTCCCATTGCTCGTCCTTCTAGGTTAAATAATAGAATAATGGCTCTCTGGGTAGTCAGACCAAATATCCACTTTGACGGAAATCATTTCTAAAGAAGAGAGATCTCAGCTTAATTTAATAAATCGATGACGTACTCACATGGTTTCCTCGGGCAAGAAGCACTCAGTCTTCAAATTGGCGTCTTGGATACGCTGGCGCGGGTCCTACAAGATAAGCGGTCAGACAAACGAGCATTAATAGGAATGCTTTTAAGATTTGAAAACACAGTGGAAGAGGCGTACGATAATAAAGCATAAAGTAAGCTTCCACTTTCTACACAATGGAACCTTGAAGCTTGTTTTAAGTGTGGGTACAATTACATGGGTTTCCTCATGGCTAGGCAAAAAGGTTGAAGTTTAACATGTTCCAATACGGGGTATAGTGTCATAGTGTTGAATTCTCTTGGTGCTCAGGTATTTCCTTTTCTTTTTCTACCGGCGTCGGCGTAACTGCAAGCCTCTCTTCCCCTCCAAACTCGTGAATTTCCTTTCGGCAGGAAGACCAGGCCTCATCATGGCTTCCCAGGCTTGTCTTCATCTTTCATTGGTGGTGCCAATCTTACCTCCTCACGTCCCCTCGTGACGTCCACGGAGCTTTTCTAAGAGTACCACGTGTAGTCATAGGCTTTTAGCTAAATCAGCCGCTCACATCACTAGGTTCAGAAGCCGGGCGCAGGATCCTTCAATCTAAAAAAAGACTAATCGCCTTTGGCCACACTAAATAATGATGTAGAACAGAGTTCAATCTACAAAACAGAGGACCGTAGTTCATGAGGCTTACTGTGCAAATAAAAGATATAAATATCCTTCTTGCCTCGCTCTGTAGAGAAAAAGGAGGGGAAAAACCTCCTTCGCCATCACTTCTTATCCATAATTCTATCCCCAGTCTACTTAACAGCCTACACGAACCCTAACACTATATACATTCGTTATTATGCCTACCTTTCATTATTTTTCAGCACTACCGTGTGAGCTGAGGCTTCAAATATGGGAGCTATCCGTTCGCCCAATACAACCTAATATTGTCGGAATTCACTATATCTCTATAACAGAGCGGCCCAGAGAAGACAATAAAGCTGTTAATGCTGTTCCGCGCATTGGTTACGGTGATGCTAGAAATCGTTCGGCCTATATGTGGGACGCCGGACTCTGGGTTGCTTGCCGCGAGTCTCGCAAGGTAACGATGAAAGCGTTCAAAATGGGTTTTTGGGAGGCGAGGATACGACAAATAGAATCCATGATGAAACAGGGCGAATGGGTATGGGGCGAATTCGTGGGGGGCGTCTAGATGCCCGATCCAAAGGAGGAAGACCGATGCCTCCCGCTTCTACAAAGAGTTACACCACGCCAAACAGGCTGGACGACTTCGAATGAGCCCTTTGACTTGGTGGTCAT